TACTGTTGCACTCAAAACACTATCCAGTTCTAAGAAAAACCCTTATGATTTTTTGAAAGATGTAAGCTAAAGTACTGTTCATTATGCTGTTTATTAAGTGATATTGAACTAATTACTTTACGCAAATTTGTGAAGTTTGATAATCATATGAAATGTAGATTGCATAATAGTGGTTTAAAGATATATGGATTAACTCAGAACACAGAGACCAGTGAATACTTAATGGTATTTCAATATGCTGATAATGGAAGTCTTCATAAGTTTTTAAGAAAACATTTTCGAGATCTTACCTGGCAGATCAAATTAAAACTACTTCGAGACATTTCAGACGTTTTAGATGAAATTCATAGGGCAGGATATATTCATTCAAACCTTCACAGTGGTAATATTTTACTAGATAAAGGAACTAGTAAAAATATGCTAACATATATATCAGATCTAGGGTTGTCTAAAAAATATAATATAAATAATTCAGAAGGTGATATTTATGGAGTCATTCCTTATGTAGCACCGGAGGTTTTATCAGGTCAAAAGTTTACACAAACTGCAGATATTTATGGCTTTGGTGTTATCATGTCAGAGGTGTCAACTGGGCAAAGACCTTTTGATGGATATCAATTTGATGATGAACTTGCAGCAAAAATTTGCTGTGGATTGCGGCCTGAATTTGCTCCTGGGACTCCAGATTGCTATATTGAATTGGCTAATCAATGCATGGATTCTGATCCACAGAAGCGGCCTGTGGTCGGGGATGTTTATAGTGCACTTTTCAATTGGAATGAAAGCATGGAAGGTTCAGATGATTCAGATGAAATTAAAAAGCGGTTTTTAGATGCAGATAGAATAGTTCAAGAATTGCCAATTGTTTTACAAAAGCATCCTGATTTTATGTATACTAGTAAAATTTTCAACACTCAAAAAATATCAGCCATTAAAGGTATTTATTTTAATAATTATTTATATTGCCTATATTTATTCATTTAAAACTGATTATATTATGCTAGAAACCTTATCAAATAAACCCATCGATAATGTTAAAGAACTTGTTGGTAAGCACTGTAATAAGTTTACAGCATTTATAATAAACCAAATTTATTACTTATTTTAGATTGACTTCTAGATTAATCGTCTTGAAGTATAATAAACTCATTGTAAGTATATAATTACTTATAATAGGGCTTTTCGAATTTAATTTATTATTTAATATTTGGCAAAATTCTACAATTAAAATGCGAAATTGAAGATAAATGTTATTTTAAAAACTAAGTCAAATTATATTTATTCTTTATTATAGTATGTTTGTATATTGACAATTTAAATATTATATATATATATATAAATTATTATAAAATTTAACTGTATTGGTTTAAATATTTCTGCATGTTGTGATTAGTTATAAACAGTGTTGTACATTTGACAAATTTGTGCATTTAGACACCTTCAATCATGGTACTTGAATATTTAGATATCTAATATTAATCAAAATTATTGGATCTTGAACATTCAATGTTTAATCAAGACTATTGGCCATTAGGCATGACAACACAGGTTATAAGGATGCTTAATATTATTTTCATTTGCCACCAGTGCTGGAAATCTTATGTCCTAACTCTTAAAACACGTCATAAAGGCTATTTAGTATTATTCTTATAGTCACCAGTGTTGGAAATCTTATGGTCCAATAGTGCTCCTATTGAACCGGACCGGACCAAACTTTTGTTAAGTTTGAGTCTGGTTTGATTTTCAAACCGGACTCAAACTTTGATGTTTCAAATTTTAATCAAGTTTGAAGTTCAAAAACTAGTTGAGTCCGAATATATATATAGGTATATTCGGCGCCGTCTCATTTAACCGACATCACATAGGGTTAGGATTAGCATTTTATTAGTCGCTGGTATATATTTTTAGTAATTACTTAGAGTATAAAGTTAGAATCATTTAGTAAACTTTTGAGAAGCATATATTTTACAATTTTATTAAAGAAACTAAAGAATGCTGTAATTCTCAAAATTTTACTAATTGATTCTGATTACATGACTAAGCAAACTTATAAACTTTTTGATTTAATAGAATCTTAGAAGTACAGTAATATCTCAATAAGTGCATGTTCTTGGTCCAAACTTTAACGGCGTGCACTTAGAGAATAAGAAAAATTGCATTTAGTGCATTTATGGAAGTCATGTACGTATATATTGGGTCTAATTTAAGCGCGCATTTAGAGAAGATGAGAACTTATAGAAGGTACACTTATGGAGGTTTCAATGAATAAGGTATAACACTATAAATATCTTCATCTGAATTATTTTTACAATATTACTTATGACTGTCTAGATATACAACTCATTATTATGATAATTTTTCACAAATTATGTGCTTTATTATATAATTTGAGCTTATAATCACTATAAGCTCATGGTTACCATTATTAATTATATTTTTACTTTATTTCTACTATAACCCATGACATAATTCACTGTTAACTTTATATATAGTCCGAGCATATTATCAATTTTAATTTATAATTGCTGTTGTTAAATAGAAAATTCTAATTCAACAAACTTAAACGTTAGTATAGTATACACCTGAGCCAAATTAGGATTATTATAAATCTAATCTAATAAGGTGATTCAGAAATAAGTGACGTATTTACTTTAAAAAATACGTGATCCATAAATCTTGTTTTTTTAAACGTATAAACTTATTTACATAATCGTTTACTGGTAACCATTTGCCAATTTTATTAAACATGTGCAATTCCCTGAGTAGGGATTTTAAAAATAGAAGTAGGATCTTTTAAGCTACCACTTATTTTTAAAATAAGTTAATTCTGAATCACCTTAATTTTTAAACCTAAATTTTACGTTTCGGGTTAATATTTCGTATCTGAAGTAGCGATTTATCTAAAGTAGCGCCTGGCTAAAATTAAGCCCCTGAAATTAGATCTTCATGCATGCATTAGATTTTAATTTTAGCCAGGACACTACTTTAGATATATAAAGTGGCTACTTTAGATAAATCGCTACTTCAGATACGACAAATACACCATAATTTTTAGTGTTCTTTAAAAAACTCTGAAAAGCCAAAATAAGTCAAGCAAGGATACGATGTTCATTTACATAAGTAAAAATAATGGAACCAAATTTTATATTTGGTAATAGGTTATTATTTAGGTAGCTGCGTGACGCAGTCGCGCCAAAGCCAGGAACGGGAAGCTTTACTTGGATTAATAAATATATTTAATTATAATATATATCAATAAAATAATAAAAAAGGAAATTTTAGTCAATTCTTTAAAAATTTAGACATGATTATTGTAACTAATTTCATGAATTATTTTGTTGATAGCCATTTTATCAATAAAGTGCGTTGGCTAGAGGTAGATTGTCGATGAATCTTACAAAAGCGTTAACTATGTATTATACATATATAACTTAGTTAATTAACAGTAAAAAATTGTGGTTAACATGTTTTTATGGATAACAGATAATCTATACTAATCTTTATAACACTGTGAAGATTTATTTGTCTGCTTTCTATATTTTGTGATTTCAATGACAGGTGTGCACATTATTTCAAAAGTGGATGGGGAAGTTAGTGATTTGCAACAATGGGTGATTAATAATTTAAACGGTGGAATAGTTATTTTAACAATGGATGTTGGTGATTTTAAAAGTGGTTTGCTGCTTCGATAGTAGATCGGTTACAGTGAAATCTCTATAAGTGCTCCCTCTATAAGTGCACTCTCTCTCTAATTGCACGTTTAAAATTTGGCCAAAATTTATTCATGACCTCTATAAAATGCACTTTTTCTTATTATTCTCTAAATGCACGTCTTTAAAGTTCGGTCCCAGGAGCATTAATTTTAGCGGTGGGTAAATTAGTAGTTTATCCAAGTAGGTTTATTAGTGCTTAGGATTTAAGTAGTGGTAAAGATTTTTTTCAACGAGAGGAATCGAGATTTTGCAGTGAAAGTTCGCGACTTAACAGAGACTTCAATTGTGGGTGTTCGTTTTAGCAGTGCAGATTCGTGGCTTTGATGAGGTGAATAGTGATTTTAATAGTGGGTGAAGAATATACAAGATGTGACAATTATGATCACGCTGACCAATTGGAAATTAGATTTTGCGTACGCACCTCATTTCTTTCTCATACTAAGCCTCACACTTCGTGATTTTATCACTCCGTTCCTGGTATTTCCTTTTTTAGGCTTGTATTACTCGCGCAAGTAAATTTACAAACTGTCCATTGTTATCAGAAAACCTAATTACACAGAAATTTATCTGTCAATCAATTTCTATATATGTATTAAAGAACGCAACGTTTGACTAATTAAAAATTGGTACAAAACTATCTGTAACTTTAAAGCTATGATTGCTTATTATGTAAGAGGAATCTCAATAAAATTCCGTTTATTGGATTATATACGTAGTCATCTGGCAAAATATTTAAACCGTTTTACTAAGGACCTTTTTTTATTACTAAAGGTTCAAATTTTGCAAGTGTAAACTTATTTGTGACAATATGCAGTTCGTTGATAAATCGTTCATAAAAGTTTTAATACTAAAAATAAATTAATTTGTTTTGTACTAACCTAGCTTGTGTTTTTTTTACGTTACTATATAAGCATAAGAATTATGAATAATATTACCTATAATCATGAAAAATGATAAATTCTATTAATGATTTTATATTAATAATGAATTAATAATGAATGAATGTTATATTATTTGCCTAATTTTTTGCAATACTAAATTTTTTTGTGGTTAAGCACCTTGATGTCCTAAAATTGCGTTATATAGCCTATGTATAATATGAAACATTTTTTTACGGTGATATTTGATTATTTTTATTATTACCGCAGAAGATAATCGCCCTGTTTATATACAGTATACAATCCTTAATGTATAAATTACGAGTCGTAGGTTTTCATATCAATTTTTTTTCATGAAAAGACCTTTAACTTTGTGCCTTTTTTTGAATTCGATTTTGATTTAAACAAAATGAAAAAATTTATTACCTTATTAATTTTCTTAACATTTTTAAGTTATCGCGTAGATTGCTCTAACTTTACATTTCCAACTGCAATTTATGGAAATTTATCAACTATAAAACAGTATGATGATGAGACACTTCTAATTACGACCCAGAATATTACAACTGATGATTTTAATCGTGAAAATAATAATATTTATTTATACCTTTTCTTTACGAATGGGAGTATCATTCCGGTTCAATATGAAAGTATATCTGATTGTAATGGTAGTAATTTTCTAGAAAGTTTCCCATTATCAACAAATTACATTTTCATGACGTATCAAGTTAATGACATGTATCGCGGAGTTGTCATTGATTGGCATGGTAATTTTAAATCAAGGTTCATATTCACGCTAAGTTTTATATTCATAAATTTCATATAAAAAATGTATACAATATTGACCTTAAAGAAATTTTTATAGCCTAGAGTTTTCATCTGACAAGTACGCGCTATCTATACCAATATATAATTATTTGCAAAAAGGATTTTTGATTGCAAAACAAGACAATAAGGATTCAACTAATCTGACTTGGACTATATACGAATTCTCGTAAGTATTTAAAAGCCATTTCCCAAAAAAAGTATGATCCGGACAGAAATCCTTTCAATAAAATGTATTTAAGAACTTGATTCATAATATACAACTTAATTTTTCTAAGATTGTTCACTATATTGATATATTATAGCAATGAAGAAAAGATTACACAAGGTTCAAATGGTACTATTTACGCAGATGATGAATATACTATTTCAAATTTCCTAGGGTTTAATACTATTGATGGTCATTACGCTGTTGCATATTCTGTGTTTAACGTTAAACAATTGACCAATCATGATAATTCATCATACAATTCTGCAGACCCAGTAATGTCCATATATGTAAATATCATTAAAGATGGTGTATATCAACAAATTTTGATTTTTCAGTCTTATGATAAGACTTTAAGATCATCAAAAATAGTTAACTGTCATTCAGGCTATGCCTCACGTGATATACAAAGTAGCATTTGCTTTATATCTTTAGTATTTCATTCTCGAAATGATAATCCTTTTAATGTTATAAAATTTATTAAATTTTCAACATCTGGCTCCGTTATTCATACGGGCACAGCTAATACTGCTTATTTAAAAAATAATTCAAGAAATGTTCACTCCATGATTACTCCATTAAAGTACGGTGGCTATCTTTATTATGACGAATTTAATCGATCTTTGGGGTTCATTTGCAATAATGATAAAGACTGTAAGTCCTTTGAGATTTCAGCAGATGCACAAGAACATTATTTATATAATTCTAGTGCTAGTTATGGAGTTTTCAGTAATAATACTGTTTGGATTACAATGGATAGTATTTCTTCGCCAAATTGGTATATTATTACAAAAGATGCAGACTGTTTGTTTGAGAATTGTAAGTTTTTTTTTTGACTATTAATTATGCTTTAAACATATTTCACCAAATTTTATGTTTTTTATTATTAGATGGCTTTAATAATCTGGCGGTTTTGTCTACCCAACCAGAACAAAATAGTACTTTAACATCACTATCAACTTATGAGAATAGAAATATTACTATTACTTTCTTCACTCCAATTGCTTTATCTACTGGAAAACTTACAGTCTTTCAAGTTATTAATGAATCTGATTATTTATTACGCCAAATTAGTCCTGCATCAGATTGTAATGTAATGCAAGCTACAAATACTACATCATGCAATGTTTTATCAAGTACATTTAATAGAATAAATAGTACATACGTTATAACTGTAGATGATAATTTCGTCAAAACATTATCATTTGATGAACCATTAACTGGAATCAGACGAGACATTTGGCGAGTCAAGACTCCAAAATGTATGTATTACCTATTTACTTTTATATTAATATAAAATTGTCATGACAAAATACTAATATTTATATTCCAACTTTAGTATATAACTCAAAAGTTGTAGGTAACTACTATTAATATGAACATTCATATTTAATTTATGTATTAAATTACTACAATATTTACTAATTTAAATATTGCCTAGACTCAACAGAAGCAACTTTACAATTAAATTTAAATTTATCTTTATATCAACAAATTAAGAATGATTTATATCAACAACTTATAACTAGCATTCCTATAGATGCCAATAGATTATATATGACAGGAAATGTTCAATCTGACTCTTCTTGTTCAAATATTTTAGTTGAGTTTTCAGTTATAAAAGCAACGGATTTTTCAAATGTGCCAAGTGTATTGGATATAATTAATGATTTGGATGATATGATTAAAAATAAAGACACAAGTGCTCTTTCTGACAAAAGTTATGCAAAATTTTTGGATAGTAATTATGGTTTTCAACCTCAAGGTATGCGAAAGTCATTTATTCAATTTTATATTTAAATAGATCCGTACTTATTTATTTATTATATTTAGCAAATCTTTGGATGGAAGTTAGGGTTAAGTTATTTGCTGCAATTATAGCAATTATTTTGCTACTTACTATTTATTTATTTGCTAAAAGAAAATATCCAGAGGTAAATATTATTTAGGGTATTAATTCCCATATATGCTTTCAAATCGTTCTAATCACATTTTACAAACTAATATTTGTAGAGTAATAACAATTTTATATTCAAGATTGTTTTAATAATATTTGACTTTATTCTTGATATTTTATTTGTTGTTAAAAATGGAAATGATATCAAAGAACTTTTTGTCCCAAGGTTTGATAATTGATTTAACTAATTTATTCTTTTTATTACATTATTAATATTTTGAAATTTATTTCATTAAAAACAGCTTAATGATTCTGATCATATCCACATCATTGAATTTTTGCTTTACATTTATAATTTTTATGAGCGAAATTCAAACTAATTCAGAATTTCGTGATTGGTTTGTGGATAATATACAGATTGGGTCGATCTGCACATTATTATCTTGCCCTAATGTTGAAGCTTTAAATATTTTACGCTCAAAAATTGCCAACCTCAAGTTGTTTGCTGCCCCATTTTCAGATAAAGCTGAAAAACGAATTTACTATGGTACAATTATTAACATGGTTATTGAAGATATTCCTCAATTTATCGTTCAAGTACGTAATATATATATACAGTATGTCGTGCTCAAGTTTACACCTGGCTGAAGTTGCACCTGGCTGAAATTAGCTTTGCGATTAGATCATTTTGTATGCGTTAGTTAACAATTCAAAGCAGGTGTAACTTCAGTTGCAACTTCAGTCAAATGTTAACTTCAGTCACAATAAATCACACCACTATTTTCAATACCACATATACAGTAGGTGTATTTTTTTTGTCTCAAGTTTGGGATGCTAATCTAACCAGTTTTTGTGGTATTGAACACAAGCGGTGCGATTAGTAAAACCGATTAACTTTTTTTTCAAAAAAAAACCCACAATTATTTATTATACTTTTTGTTAATAATAGGTTATATATTATGCAAAAATAATTACTTACAGTAGCATTCCGCTATTTTCACTTATAACGAGTTCGGTGCTTCTTTTTAATAACGTTATATCTATAACTTACAAACATTGGCTTGAGTATAATAGAAAAAAAAACATGATAAATATAGTGAGCATACAGTAATTACTAATATTCTCTCGAATATATATTAGAAGAGACTTAGATAATTAAAATTAATAGCAAAATAAAGCATTTATGTCAATTATATAATGTTTAATTATTAATCGAATCAAACTTAATGTAATTTAATTTTATTATTAATACATTACATGTAAATTAAAGTCAGTTTAATCTTAAAATTAAAAATAATTTGGCAAATAATTATTTGAGTCAGCTTAGTTCACGATTCGACTTGCTCATATTTTTGAGTCAAGACTTGATTTAATTTTATCAATAATACAAAACGTGTGAATTAAAGTCAGTTTAATATTAAAATTAAAAATAATTTGGAAATAATTATTTAAGTCAGCTTAGTTCACGATTCGACTTGCTCATTTTTGAGTCAAGACTTGATTTATTAAAATTCCTTTGACTCAACTTATTTAGAGCCTGATCCCTCTTGAATTGCTCAATGCATGACTTTACTTAAGTCAGTTTGAGTCATTCCTTTTCATATGTTATCAAATTAGATTTTAATAGATTTGATGAACTTGCCTAGCTTCATAATTATAACTTTTATCTTGCTTACATTAATTTTCATCAATGTGGATTTAATATAACGATTATGTTAGATACTAATTATAACCTTTTTTATTACTGAAGTATTATTTATCTTTATTAATATTTCATTTTCATTAACTGAAAGTAAAAAATTATAGTTACGAATGCTAGTGTAATTATCATATTACAATACATTATTATTTCATTTAATGTAGGATTGTAAAATGTAATTGTCAATGCTATAGACAAGTCTTAAGAATATTATAATCTGATCCCTAAAATATTCTTTAGAGCCGACTTTTACTCTAATATATCATACATTATTTTATATGTTGCACACCGGATGAAGGATAAGTCGTGTAACCTCGACGGTTCTTCCTGTTCCATACACTTCGTGATTTCATCACACCGTTCCTGGTATTCGTGATTTCATTACTTCGTTCCTGGTATTAATTTCATCTGTCAAATAATTTAATGTAATATTTTCGATTCGTATCACTACTAGAATTTCTAGAATTTCATTACTGACGCTACTGAATTTTTTCATACAAATAGAATAAGGAATGTAAAGATTAGAAATTTCTAAACTTCTACTAAGAACATCATATATTCGATATCAATATGAAAAAGAACCAAAATCCATTCTTTAAACATAATTATATTTCCATTATATAAAAGACAATTTTAACCTTTTCTACAGTGAGATTCCCGTTTTAATTAACTTGGTTTTACCCTATCCTATGTATATACATACATTATTGTTCTATTAATTACTAAGCATTCCCGGTTCTGATTATATATCGTATAAAAAAGATTTTTTACCGTAAAGATAAAACTTTTACAAGTAAACTATTAAGTATAAATATAGTGGCAGCTCTTTCACTTTACAGATACGATAATTAGACCACTAAAATAAAGTTTAGGCATGAAAGTCAAATGCGTCAACTGCAATGAATTCAAAAAGCTTAATTTTAGCAAGTTATGTTCGAGTTGCCAAAAATGTACCGGCTGTAATAAAAAGAGATTACTTAAATTTAAAATAAATTATGTACAGGCTGTTATTATGCACAGTTCTAAAATGTCAATAGTGGAAATCAAAACAGTGAGAATTTAATTAAGGCAACACATAGTAATTAACCTAGATTTAGATTATTATGGATCCCATTCAATGAATTTATAGATATAAAACGGATTGAAACTGGTGGTTTTTAGTGAAATATATACTACTACATGTACAAAAGGAACAGTACGCGGTTGGAGTATTAGTAAAGAAGAATTTAATCAGACAGAAAATGTGACTATTGTGCTAAAGGTTCTTAAAGATTCCTTAACCATTGATTCTGCATTTTTAAGAGGTAAAGATAGAATTTTAACTATGTAACTTAATTTAGTTACCAATAATTTATAAAGGTCCTTAATAGCATTATGTTTTGCAGCTACGGAATATTGTTAAAAGTCAAACAAATTACATCAATCATAATCTTATTCAATGCTATAGGGTGTCAAAATAACCAAATACAAATAATTATATATTTGTTATGTCTTATATGTTCTAGTGATTACTATCAGAGATGTTTGAAGCATTAACTAGTGATGAAGATTCAAATGCTAATAGTATATCAGAAGAGATCCAGAAGTTATCTATTTGGTTAGCATTATTAGGATCATATCAGGTAAATGTTTGGATATTATGAAAGGTTAAAAGACTAGTTAAATTAGTAGCATTTAGATTAGTGAATCAAGAAAGATGTTTGTTTCTGTGTTGGTTGGCATTAAAATCTTCTAACATGATCAGATGCCAGTTTCTAGCTCTAGCCTTTGTAGTTCAAATGAATAATTGAAATTGAGTACACTTTAAAAAAGAGTCATAGTTTAAGGAAAGATATGTTGAAATGATGTGGGATTTGTTGTTGTTAAGAAAGAAGAAGTTTATGCAGATTGCAGTATTATATAAGATATTAATTTTGTGATGTATGGTTGTAGTTAGTTGTATATTATTAGGCTGTTCCTAGGTTGATTTCTTATTGATTTGGTTTGTAAAATATAAAATTTGAGGTATATATCTTGTATAACAAGTTGGTTAGTGAACTAGACATTGATTCTTTTAATTTGGTTTCTGTAAGGAAACTATATGCAAGTTTGATGCTACACAGTATTCAATACATGTTTACATTTTAGTATATCATTAGTACTTCTAATATTATGAGTAGTTATGTAAATTTTTTTATTTAGATTAAATTCAGATAAGTCTGATTTTTCTTCAAATGATTGTAAATTAATTGTTGTAGAATTATTGTTGGTAGTTAGTCTATTTAGGTTACTAATTGGTGTTATCATTATTGGCATTTAGATGAAATAATCTTTTAGCTTGGTTTCAGAAGGATGGTAATGCTAATATATTATTAGGAATATTGTTGATTGTAAAGTATTATTGTAATAAATCAAATGTATCTTTGGTTTTGATCTGTTGCATAATAGAAATAGGTGTTCTTATTATGACAATATTTTTTGTGTTTAGTTATTTTTTGATTTCAGAGATGAATTTGAAATTACTAATTTAGATGAAAGCTTGGTTTTGTTTGTGTTTGTATTATATATATTAGCATCTTTGATATTTATAAAAATTTCAATCCAGGTATCTGGAATGTAATAGAAATAATATTTTTGTCAAAGTTGTTTAGTTAAGTCTACTAATACTTTGGTTGAGGTAATTGGTATTAAAATACTAAATTTTTTGATATATTTTGGGTTTTTTGACAAATCTGACTTGTTAATAGAATTTGCTATCATCATGTTAGGTGGTAGTAAAAGTAAAAATTTGTAAACTGATATGATTTGTTTAATAAAATATTTTGCCATTTGATTGTTTATAATAAAGTAAGTGAAGGCATCAGATGTTTTAATTTTTTTAGAGTCTTTAGGTAATAATAGTTTGACTTTGAAATAGTCATTTAGAAGGCTTTTAAAGGAGAATTCTTTTTTGAGTTGTTCTATAATTTTTATAAGATTAGTATTTGAATTCTGTAGATCAATTGAAAAATAAAGTCTGTATTTGCTACTTAGGTCCTAAAATACAAATTGCAATAGTTTTTTTGGTAATAATAAGTCAAAGAAACTAAAAAGTATATTATTACAGACATAGTAGTTTTGTAATTTCTTTTTAAAGTATGCCAAGTTGGTTAGTTAACTGTGCTCTATAATAAAAAAAAGGTCTCTTATTTCTGCATATAGTTTATGTATGCTTTTTGGTATTAGGCTTAAATTTGCAAAATATTTTTTTAGCAACTGATCAAAGTTATAGATTCTATATAATTTAGCTATAATGGCTTTTGTTTGTGATCTTTGTTTTATAGAAAGTTCAAAAGCAAGTATTTGGAGGTTCTATTGTAATATTTCACTTGAATCTGCTGGAAATGAAGCTAATTGTGTAGAGAAGACATTCTGTACTGCTTTTTGTATTTATTTAAATTAAATTAAAGTTTCAATTTAGTAAAGTCTTTGTAATATTTAATCAACTAGTATATGGTTTTGGTTGTATTTATTGTAAAATTTGTATTAGAAAGATAGCTAATCATAATTTTTTATCTGAACTTCACATGTATAATATCTCTAATTGCTTTTGTTGTAATTATAATTTTATATTGTGTTTTGTAATTTTCAATTGCTTCTTTAAAAAGATCTTTATATATAGTTTGGTAAATTGGTATAGATCATTTATCTCTTATAAATATAAGAAAAAAGACATGGTTCTAATATTTAAATTTTGTTTTAATAATAAAATAAAGAAAGAAGTTAGTTTTGTTTGATCTATAACTTGTATACTATAAAGTTAAAAATTTCTTTTTTGTTTAAAGTATAGTAATAATTTTATTATATTTTCAAACATCTTTGTTAAATAGTTAGATGATTTTATTTTGTAGGTTATCACATATTCTGTCTATCCATTCTTGGGTGTGATCTATCTCTATACTAGTTTGTGTTCTACTAGATGTGAAAAAATTTTTTTTGATCATTTGGCTGTAAGTAAGTAGTTTGTGTTCTTTTGAATTGTTATCTATAGTTGCAACAGATTCTGTATTTATATAGTTATCTTTTATTTTTGTATATTCTTTGTTGTTTAGAATATTGTGTTGGTCATTTGTATTATTTAAGTTATCTTTAATGTTAGAATTTTCTAAAATAGGGTTTGTTAAAGGCATAAGATTTGTAGATTCCATTAATGTGTTATCAAAACTGGTTTGTATAAGTTTATTGTTGTTGTTGTTTGTATATAATTATGTTATAATTAAATTTGATAAGAATGAGTTAGATTGCTACTTTTTACATTATTTTGAGCTTTTGGAAAGATATTTCATTAATTTTTAGCTGTATTTTTAAATAGATAGAGTCTTTTTTGATATTGATTCTGTTTTTTAAAGAGTTATTATTATAAAAACTTGTGGTTTGTTTTCCTATTTGTAATTGTAGTATAGTCTCAAAGAAGAATATAAATAAAAGACCTACTGGCTAATATTAATTTCCTTTATTTATTAAAGTGTTATTGGTTTTGCTATTAATCTGTAGTTTTTTTTTAACTACAGTAATAACAGAAGCTGTTTAACTATAGTATGATGACTATAACTTAACAGATTCTATATTAAGTTATAGTAAGACTTAACAATATAAAGAGTAATTTGGGATTTTAAGACAAAGGTAACAATATATAGTATATAAAGATACTAAATATTGTATTCAGTTTATTAATTATAAAATGTATAAAAATACTTTTTAAGTATATAAAGACACTTATATAAAAAATAGAAACACTTAACTTTTTTAAAGAGTCAGAAAGCAGTACTTTTATAGATATTTTATATCTATAAATTATTACAATAAAGACTACTCTGTTACTAATAAATGTTATATATAGTAATATTAAGATATATAAAAACTAATAGATATAATAAATATAATATATATAATAAATAAGAACTAATCCTGTAACTCTCTTTGTAGATCACTTATACCAAATTTTTACTAAAAACATTTAATTATTTCTCAATATTTTACTAAGTAAACCTTATTTGCATCTCTAAGTAATGTTTCCCAGACACTTTTCTTTTTTTAGGCAGCCAAGTTTTATAACCTTACAATACTTGGCTACTAAAAAAAGTTTCAAAACCCAAAATATTGGTTTTTGCTTATTTGCTAAATATTTTATTAATTAAACATATCTTGCTATCTACTAAAAAAATAACATACTCTCTGTTCATGTTATATTGATATATATTTTAATACAAACAAACCAAAACTCACTAAAATATTAAAAAAAAAACAAAACTAAAACCTGTTTTTGCAGATTATTTTAGTAGTAAATTTAGAAAAATTTATTGAGTTGACCTGAAAAATTCACTTTTTTAGTACTTATTAAAATTTTTTAAACATCCATTTAGTCTTTTTAAAAGTTTTACATCTCTCAGATTATTTCTAACTTATCTGTAAAGCTTCTAAATTAGAAAATTTTACCTAAAAATTAGATTATTCAATTTGATTTGAAAATCATTTTAGACTAGTACAAACATCACATTATATAGTTACACAAAATCCTAACATCATTACTGTTAAACCAAACTTCTTTGATCTAGTTATTCTTCAGAATAAATATAATGATTAACTTTAGTTATTCTGAACAAAAACTGTAAAAGTTTCAAAATTCTTCTATCTAATTTCAATTCTACATTATGTAATCTTCACAATGGCTACCATTTCTTTTTCAGTAATACTTAACCTATTATTACAAAATGTTTTTGTGAAAAATATCACACATGTTTTGCTTTACAGCATTTATCTTTGCCACCTATCTCTGATACTACTTCTATAACTACAATCAAGTTGTCTAATTTAATGAAAATTAATTTTAATCTAAAACTCTATAAATCTCTTCACAATGTACCAAAGTTATCCTTTCAATATAAACACAATATTGTTTATTTATTTTCCAACTGCTATAGCAATATTAAACAAAATACCAATAATTAAGTCTCTTTTCTTGCCTTTTTTTATTATACACACATATGTATTATTTGCAAAACTAAAAATATATTTTGTATTATACTAACTAATAACAAGCACTTATAAGACCCAAAAGCCCTTATATTCAAAATTGAAGTAGATGACTTTCTAGCTTATTCTCAATGCATCTATAAATTTAAACTAAAGTTAGTAAAATTTACAAGCTCTATGAACTAAGAACAATATAGTTTCTATTGCAAAATCAAATATCTATAACTATTTGCAGAAAACAAATACATATTCTTTAAAAATTCCTGAATAAACTTCTTAAAAAGATCAAAAATACTGACAAATAACCAGATAATAACTTTAATGCAAAAGAAACTTAAA